GGAAGTCAGCCGAAAGAAACGGTACTCGGAGGATCACCGCGGATGAACGTTCCATCCCATAAGCTTGTCCCCCATCGAAACGTATAGCGTCTCGTGCACAGTTCGGTGCATCGTATGTCGCGCGTCTCTGCGGCCCGGCTGTTGGATACGTGCGGCACGAAGATGCGCCGCGGGATCACCGACTGACAGCTCCCTAATGGAACCCGTAAATACCGCACGGGGCACGTTATGTTTTCCAAATGAAATCCCGAAAATTTACTCCGGCGACTGCAGCCGCCGCCGTTTATCCTCTCCGGATAAAACATTACATTTTGTGTCTCTCCCTCTCTCACGCTTTCATTTAATATAATAACGCTGCAATGTCGTGGTACATATAGTATATATATATATATATGTACACGATTGCTGTTATTGGTCGATTTCTGCAGTGCAGTTACATACATTGAAACATCGAGCGAGATCAATGGCGTTTGCATTATTATGCGATTGATGGGTCGACGCATGATAATCCAATCTGAAGCAACGAAAAATCCGTATAACCAGGAGCAGATAATTAGGAAGCGAGCTCCGTATTGATTGATTCAATTTCCAGCTCGATAGAACGAACGTCCACTTTAATTACACCAACGAACAATACGTTGACGATTAATATTCATATTGCGATATTGTAATATCGTGATACGTAATACCGTAATACGCTAATATCGCGGATGTTAATAATGGTTCGCTTAGCGTTTATTTATGCGCGATTAATTACTGCCGCGAAAAGGAAGCCGTTGCGTGTTAGAAGATCCAACAAAATTCGAAAATAACGGGAGAAGAGATACGTGTGTATATATATATATATATATATATACACAATTATAAGCGTACAAAAATATTATGCAATGAAAGACGACACACGGCGCGTATCGTGCACGCGCATATTTAGTTACGTTATTACCGCGCGTGTATATCCGACGATTACCGCGATGAGATGCGGGCGCATCATGTACGTAATCGATATCGAAACCAGATAAAAATAATATTACGACGCTGCGATTATGATACCCGCATCGCCAGATCGAATCGGTCGCGGCGCAATCGCGACTGTTCGACGCGACTCCGCGCTGATATATAGGATGCAGATTGCAAATACGATTAAGCGTTATTGCATTTTCTACTTTTCTCGGAATTACATTCTTTCAAATTTTATTACCCGCCGATATCGATTGGTCGTGGCGCACGGTCTCGCCTCTTGGCATGCGTACAGAGAGAGAGAGAGAGAGAGAGAAAGAGAGAGAGAGAGAGAGAGAGAGTTACCTACCGCGGCTACACGGATGAATGACACCATCGCATCTCACGCCCCCTCCGAACGCGTGGATATTAATTTGCAAAAATTAACGCTCCGAAAACTGACAAAATCAAACGTTTGAAAAGCCGACAAATTAAAACGGAAATCTTTTACTACGATGTCTATATTCAACGTTCAAAAATAAAGTTGCCTGAACATTTTCCAACTATTTTTCTTTAACCTTTCTCTTTTTCTTTCAACTTTGTTTTAGAAAAGAACGAATCGAAGTAAGTTGAAAATAAATATAAATGTCAGAGAAATAAACAAGCGGGCGTATGTGCAAAAATATATTTTTCAAGCGTATACATTTATACATTATAGCAATTTGAACTGAATTTAAATCTGAAAATTCATATCGGATACTTCATTTGCATCTTATATACATAAACTACACTTTTTTACCCTCTGTGAAATAAATCCGAGTTTGACTCCTGGCCAAGGTGTCTTTTCCGCAATGTTTTTTTTTTTTTTTTTAATTTTACAAGAGCATAAAAGAGGTAGTTTATATATGAGATGCAAATTAAGCATCGGAATTTTAAAAATGAATTCAATTCGGAATTACTGTGTGTGTGTGTATTCATGTGTGTGTTTACATATTTAAAAAATATATTTCGCGCATATACATCCATTTGGCTCTTAATGGGCCTTATTTCTCTGCTAGTTGAATATTAAAAAAAGCCTTGCACGAGAATATTTGTTAAATGCGTTTCATATTTTTTGTTTTGTGTGATGTGTGTAAAACTTATGTATCGCACGAATTTTTTTCTCACTTTTTCTTTTAATTGCTACAAGCACAACGCAGTTAATTTTTCCTTCTCAAACGAATTTTCGAGTCAGTTTTTTTTCCATCTATCCCCTCCATTGTTTCGCAAGCAATGGTACAGGCGATAGGAGCGTTTGTAGATTCGCGCCCGTTCGTGCCAGAGCAAAGTGGCTATTTTCCAGCCAGTGCTCACCGATTAAGAATCCGATCCCGGCCAAGGAGCAAGGGATAATCCAAACTCGAGAATCACGAATGAGCTTATTCCCTGAGTTTAGCAATAGGCATTATAGAAAAAAAAAATAAAACTAACGGTAACGATCAAAAGATTCTCGCGCTCGTGCATTTTTTGATTTGTTATTCATACACGAAGCTTATCTAATATTTCCGGAAAAAAAACAGAATTACTCAAACGATTTTTTCTGTTATTCTCTCATATAAATTTTTGTTATGAAATTCTTTTCTCTTGCAAAAGTAGTCGTTCAGTTTTACCGAACGACTAAGTCAACAAACTTGAATTATTTTGTGAAAAAAAAAAAAAACACACAAGGGTACAGACGAAGTCGTGGGACGGTAAAACGAGTGAACTAGCGAACGGTCGACGGGGGAAAAGGGGGATGGCGGCCGTGAAGTAAATAGGAGTCGTGGTCGTTCTGCCGTAAAATTGTATGTGAAATTGTGCGATGTGTCTTGCGAATTGAATCGCCGGAAACGACATTGATTTTATTGCTTGTTTCCAGTGCTGTATACTTCATCCTTACCCTCTTCTCCATCTTCCAACCTACTTGCCGCCCCCTTGCCACCCCATTCAGAACCGCGACACGTTTTCCACTATCACCTCGGCAACTCTTTGTTGCGTTATGCAAAAGTTTATTTTCCAATATTGCCCAACATATAAATCGGTTTTACATAATACTAAATCTAATTTTTAAAATATATATATATAAATTCCTTCAATTGAAATTTAGTTAAAAACTTTGCTCCTGTATTGTTATACAGTACATTGCTGATGAAAAATGTATTAAGATGATTTTATATAAAAGCAGATCTAAGTAAGAGAAAAGTATCGAGTCAATCGGTGAAATCACATTAATTTCTCTCACTGCAGAAGAAGCTGACACTCGCTCCAAAGCCGAAATACGGAGGCCATAATTTTCCTTCAATGATTTACCACGGGCTAATTGCAGAATGCAGTGAGCGGTAATATCGCTTTGCAGGGTTACGTCCGGGGTAGGGTAGCTATACTTTAGTTTGCAATTTAAACTTTACTTCCTCCGGAATTGATTAGCTTTTAGTAATTAAGCAAGCAACGCCTTGGACCCCCTCGCTCTTCTTCCCGCCCGTTCCCTACGCCGCATTCGCCCACTTCGTCACTCCCTCGCTCCCTCCTCTTCCTCCCCCCGACACCTCCTCCTCGTCCGCCACCTTGCCATCTCATTCCCTTCACCCTTCCCGTCGCTATTTCCCTTTTCTCGTTCGAGTTCGGTCATACTATTCCATTTCGGCGAACGCGCCTGCGCTGATTCACGCGCGCGTACGTACACGCACACGCGCGCGTTGATTCTTCCGTCCTGTTCATCCCCCCCGTGTCCCATGCGAGCCTCCCGTCTCTCCTTCACCCCCTCCCTCCCTCCCACCCTCCCTCCTCCCTCGCCCGGGTGTCTGACGTACCCTCTCTTCGTAAGTACCTTGTTTTGCCACTGATTCCTCATCCGGTCGCTTGTGCGTCCGTTTTCGATCTTATTGAGTGTTATCGAGAATTGCTCGTGTTTCGCCAACAGCGTGAATTGATCTTATGCTTCGTTTGCTTCTATTTCTATTATGCTGGCATCTGCCTTAATAGTAATTAAAGAGAATATTTTCTCTCGACAAGTCTTAAAAAACTGTATCTTAATTAAATTTTTCAACAACATACACTCCATGTAATTTCCATTTATCTACAGAGAAATATTTCGATGTTTCGAGAACGCGCGAGCTTTTTAATAAATCATATCTGGCTTTAAATCAGGCACAAAATGAACAGGCCTGATGAGTGGGTCAGTGCGCATGACTTTACTATTGAGAATCACTGCCATCACCGCGATTTGAATTTCAATTTGTCGTCAAAATGTTGCGAACACGTAGTAGATTTTTAACGTGATGTAGAAGCGTTTCGATATAATTTTCATAACTGGCAACAGGAAGCCCCCTCCCCCCTCTCCTGTATACACACACAGACACACACACGCTATCGATCGAATGTCGAAAATGTAATTCGATGCAACACATCTTGCCTGCGTGCGTAAATTAATGTAAATTATGCGGAGTGTCTCTATTTTCAGGGCAATATCACAAATCAGCGAAATGCGTTTCGTTAAAATCGTAAATGACAATCGTAAACCGATAAAGTAATTTTAACATCATAATTTCGTTAATGCGTGCAAAGAGGAGCAGAGTTTCGCATATTTTTAAGGTATATTTGAAAAATTAAAATTAAAAATGTAACGCGCAAAAAAAAAACGCGCAGAGCAAGATCACCGCAAGTGCGTAAAGTCGCGCGCAACAACTTTACGCGTTTTCAAACAACGAATAACTTTACCGCAAATACCGCAAAAATATTAAAAATATTACTTTTCTTTTACTGTATCTGTTAATGAATTTTATTGTAATCTTATTTGCATTTCGGAGCAGTACAGTTACGCGTAAACAATCGTCGTGATTAATATACCATCACTCATCATTGTTTATCGCTCTCATTGCACCGCGCACAGTGCCGCTGTCCTTTCCACGAATTATGTCGCGCATTGTTTCATCCGCGGTCCATTATCATAGCGTTAATTAGGACATACTGGTCTTACATGATCAAAATCTCTTTTAAATTTCGCGATGCTCGAAAATATAATATATATCGATTGCAATTTTACTCACCAATGCAATGACGAGAAGGCCGCTGTAAGCCGATAGTGATGATGATCTGCGCCAAAAAATCCTCGCGACAAACAGTCGTCGTCCGCTCGGAGCAGTGCGCAGTCCAGAACACTCATGGAGCACAAGCTGGTCGTTGTGTTGTTGTTGTTGTTGCCGTCGTTGTTGTTCGTCGTTGTCGTGACGGGAAGCCGTTCACACGGAAAGATGTTCGCGAGAAGAGAGCAGCGCGGTTTCACACAAGAACAAAATTCTCGTTATTCGGAATACTCACTCCGGACCCGATCGATCCGCTTCGGTCGCCGAAGTTAGTTGAATCGTCCGCGCGCGCAAACACTTCTCACAATAAATATTCCGGTCCACGATTCGCGCCAATCATCGAATCGCATACGTCCGATGTGCTGTTCGCCGCTGCGCCAAGTCGTGCACTGAGTCGTGAACCGTCGTACTCGTCGCGGCCGTTTGGTGTCGCTGCGCGCAATCGCGCTATTGGCGCGACTCGTCGCACACGTCCGTTCGGCACGACGGATACACACGAAATGCGGGGGACGACGCGTACCGTGACACGAGACTCGCCGGGAGCGCCCGACGTGGCACGATCGCAAGTGCCTGTGTATACATCTATCTATCCCGTTTTCTCTTTCGCTCCCCCGACGCGTCCAGGATACACTGGTTATACAGGATCGCCGTCGCGCGTTCCTACGTCGCGCGCGTCCTCCCACGTCATAGAGATCACGTCTACGATTCTCCCGAGAAGAGAAAGCGGGCGCGTGTCGTGCACGCACGTCAGACACACGCGCAACGGAATCTGAGATGTCGTCAGGAGCTGACCATGCCGTTGATAACGAATGATAGGATTTCAGCGCATCAGAATGATCTATGTGTAGAAACGCAAATTCGATTCTATATATATATTAGTTCGAATTGCGCGTGTAAAGGTGCGCGTATGAGGCAAATTGGTTTTAATTATAATTAATTAATGTTTGAATTGAGCGCGCGTTAAGATATTGTGCGTTAGGAAATTTGATGAGAAGTATTGGACAGAGAGATTGTACGGTACACACGCATTGCGCACGCGCAGGATATTATGAAAAGTTTGCGGCTGTTCACGACGCCAAAAAATATGGCGTGGTAATACTTGTTTTGCGAGCTATCACGCCGCACATATTTGCTTTGCATATTGCTGCCGGAAGCGGTATCGAACAACAAACATTGTATCGGTGTAAACGCTCAATTAATATCACGTAACGAATATCGGTTAAACAGTGATTTTGGCGTCGCTTCGGTTTTATGGTGTAGCACGCGGAAAGTTTAACATAATATCGTTAATAATCGCGCGGGAAAGAGAGAGAAGTAAAGAAAATGTGTGTGTGTGTGTGTAATCGTCGCTTTTATCGGCCTCCGCACCCAGCAACGAGTGCCCGAAAATTCCTCGGTCGGTTCGCGCGCACTGACGTCGCCCTCGCGATAATAATTACTGCTAATGTAAATGTTCGTTAATGGACGTCATTAAATGCAACGCCGGCGGAATGGCCGCGGGGCGCCTGTGTAAGTCTATACACACGCTCGCGGGGCTTTGCCAATTATATTAATTAAATAAACATTATAATCAGCTAATTAAATCTAGCGCACTCAACCCCCGCTGCGCCCTCCCTCCCCCCACACACACAAAACACTCTCCGCACCCTCTCCTCGCTTCTACCGTAAAGATACACAATATCGTGAAATTCAATCGTGTCGAGCAAGATTTACTATCGGGAATCGCTTGCGCGGTTCGTCGCGGCATTTCAGCGAGCGGCGCTGCGATCCGACGCGTAATTGCTTGCCGATAAACGTTTAATTAAGCTCTGCGAGGAAAAGTTCATGGATTTTTAGCGCGGTCCGACGATCACGTCCGCGGTATAATATCTACGATCACGAACAACTTCAACGGACACGCGCGCGAGCAGCAGCGCTTGATATTTACTCCCTAATTAGACATTTTCTCATAAAAATGTGAATCCGAGCTTAACTAATTAAATAAATATCGCCGTCAATATAAATCTCCGACTTGGAAAATACAATTCCGAGTAGTTGAATGTACTTTTATTGTTTTTTTTTAGTTTTATTTGCACCCACATAAATGAAGTAAGAAACGGGAAAATTGCGTAAATTTCGCAATTTCACAGATTACACTTTTCTCTAACGGTCAACTAAATCGTTGAATTTTTTTCTCTCAAGTGGCGCGTACGAAATAAAGACGCGGTGTTTTTAACTCGATTGTAAACTCGCGCGAGAGTACCACAACGCGCGATTCTTATACGACACGTGTGCGCACGCAAGAATATGTCAACAGGCGCACCTACACGAAGCTCTCTCCCGGCCGGTCGGTTACACCGGCCCTCGAAAAGCGGTTCGTGTCATTAGTATGTTAATTGGTAACAGCCTGCCTGGCTTGTGCCTCACTCACCCCCGACCCTCGCTCCTGCCATGCTCGCTCGCCAACCCGGCTGCCTGCCACGTCGCGTTGCGAACGCATATACGTCGTCCGGAGCCCACCGAGTTTGTACGTTAAGATGTTTAATCACTTCTGTAATTAAACTGTCCTTCAAAGGGTTAATTGTCCCATAAACCCATGAATACGTTAACGAGCGCGCTACGCACCTCGCGAGCATCGCCAGCGGCCAAGGAGCCTCGCGACGAGGAAAACGGAATAGCTTACATAAAAGCGCGCAAAGAAAAAGACATAATATGGGAATCGTTAGTCGAAGGCTCGACATAAAAAAAACATTTCGTTATTAGATAAAAAAAAACCTGTGTGGAAAAACACACACTACCTTAGATAATATTTATTCGCACAAATCATTTTAAACGTGGTTTTTTTAATAATATAATAGTCTCTGTCACAGAAAAAGAGAAAAATCTAACGTGAAGAAACGTGAACGTCTCGTATCACTGGAAAATGTGAATTTATCCGGATATATGTAGACGCTTTCCCCTTATTACGAAAAAAAAGACAAAGAAAGATGCTGTATGTATACAGATAATATAAACAAAACTTTAAATATTATATATTATTATACACAGTAAAAAATAAAATGTTAATAAAATCTTCGAATTAAAAAAGAATTGTACCGAATATCTGGTGTTAAATTGTTATTGCCATTTCCCTATCTTTTTATTTAAATAAAATGTTAATTTTAATTTGAATGGATCTCCTGGGATATATAAAAATGTTTAAAGTAACTCATTTGTCATATGTTACTTATTGACAAACTAGTAACGTTAAGCAATTGACATTTTACATTTGTTATTTTATTTAAGTAATGTAAAAATCAAATAACACATAAAAATAATTAAAAACTACATGAAAGAACAGTTACAATAATAAGAAATGTATTTATTCTTTTTGAAGTACATTTTTTATGAGTTATTTTAATTATTTTTCCATGTAGTTTTTTTTAATTATGTTATTTTATTTTTACATTCCTTAAAGACAAAATAACAAGTATAAATGTAAAACGTCAATTGCTTAACGTTACTAGTTTGTCAATAAGTAACACATGACGAAATGAGTTATTTTTACATGTCCCCGGGAGGTCCACTCAAAGTAAAATTAACATTTTATTTTTTACTGTGTATCATAATTTGGTATTACATTTGTGAAGTTTTCATTAAATACGAAACTATAAAGCGTCCTTAGATTTGTGCGAAGCCGACTACTACCAGAAGGACGCGAAACAAGGGAATCATTGCCGGCTCGGAAAGTAATGGCGAAGAGTGTTAATTTTCGAAATGAAAACGAGACATCCATCTTTAGCGAAATGCTTGGCGCTCGACGCCTCAGCGCCTGGCCCATTCTCTCTCGCTCAATGCATTAGAGTAATGAATTAATTTCCATTGGAGTTCCACCTTCTGTCCCCCGTCTCCTCGTCTCCACTGTCACGCGCAACCCCCCTCGCGGCTATTCGCGTCGATCCTTACCAGCGGCGCCCGTCTTCGCAGCGCTATATTCCGGATTTAAAATCTATTTTCCTAATTGTAACCGCGCCATGGTTTCCCCGATTTTCTTTCGTGATTTTTCATTTCCATTCTCGCATTTGCAACGTGTCAACGGAGAACGTGTGACATCTCCGCGAAATTTCAAGGCTGATATCAAAGTGCTATGTTTTTTTCTTGTCAAAAATATTTTGTTCTATATCAAAGCCAGTACGTATTATTCTTCATAATATATGACATTTTTTTAATACACGTTTTTCTCTAATTATAGAAATAATAATTCGCACAGATGACACTAATTTATATTGCTTCCAAGATACAGCCAGTAGGATTTTCCAGAGAGAAAAGAGCCTAAAGAATAGCACGAGGGTCCCACCCACTTCCACCTTGTTCGTCTTTACGACGAGGTCGTAAGGGGGCGAGCGAACGAAGCGAGCGGGCATGACTGGTGGGCGAGCCGGAGTGAGCCGGGGAGGAAGCCGCGAGAGAGACGGGAGGTACCGAGCAAAGGGGGAACCAAGACTCCGGTCAATTAAGCGCAGGAAATTAGAGTTTTAATTACGCAGTCATTCAGAAAATTACATCGGGGCCGTGAAGAAGGCATCCGCAATCGGCCAACGAGCGGTGACGACGCGGTACGACGGCGAACGGTTTTCTCTTTCTCTCTTCGACGCTAAGGCGTTCAATGATTTTCGAAAAACAACGTATCACGAGTGCGTGACAAATTTAAGAGACGTTTCCCCAAAGGTCGAGCAGTCAGTCTTTTACGACAAAAGTTTTAAACGAGATATCGAGCGAATTTTGAAGGGCGCGATTAAAAAATACCGATCCAATTAATCGATGGCACTCGATGCAACCGGAATAGCAATAAGGACGTGTATTTCAAATCAACGGTGAAATTGTGAAGTTACGACAGTTTAGCTGCGCTTTAATTATTTATTTCCATTTTCTTTATATGCAACAACATAGGAATTAATAGAAATATATAATTGACGAGTTTATATACATGTATGTGATGCAATGTAGAAATACTACACGTAGAATAAAACAAACACATACAGAGAGATAGGCAGAGAGAGAATATTCAGACGACCTACAACTAGCGTTAAATGCGGCTGTTTGATTTGTTGAGCATGATAACGTTGAGCGCAATATTCATATCAGATGAATGAAATGCGGTATTCAGACGCGGGCGTAATTAGCGCAAAATGCGCGCGACTAAATAGCGACGCGGACGTAAGGCGCGTTGATTGAATAGCGTTAAATTAGTTCGATTTTGTTTTAATTTGTTCCCGAGCCCCGGAGCCCCGGATGATGAATATCGAGAGGTCAGCGGTGAAATCGAATATCTCGCCGAGCTAAATTTCCTTGCTCTCGCCGACGAATCGACCGACGCGAACCGGCCCAGTCGCAATACTCGCGCACGCGATCGTGTCGATTGTTTGTCCGCTGTGGGCCGAGATTATATTTTAATCAGTTTACCGATTGCA